CATCCTGTTGTATTTTTTGACTCATGCTTTAAATTTCTGCAGATTCAGGAAATAGCTGGCTCAGCCTTCCTACTTGGTGTCCTCCAGATGTGTTGGAACATGTAGCAGCATTTCCACTCAGCCTATTTGGACTTGTCTGGTTGCATCTGGGGAGCACCAGAAGGTTGTCTTAAGACAGGGGCTGTCATAGCAGAGCTGCAAAATTGCAAACATTAGAGCAGGGGTCTCCAACCTTGGCAACTTTAAGACTTGTGGACTTCAACTCCCAGAGTGCTGGGAGTTGAAGTCCACCACAAGTCTTAAAGTTGCCAAGGTTGGAGACCCCTGCATTAGAGGGTAGCAAAGAGATAGAGTACAACTCTCTTTGCTGCCCTCTAGTGCATGTCTGAATTTTGGCAACTCAGATACAGTTACTCTGATGTAGACCTTTTCTTTTTTCCCCTCCTCCTCCTCTTCCTCCACACATATTGTTCTGGAGGAGAGGAATGGAGGGCTCAGGGAAGCTATTCTTCCTTTCACCACCAGAGCTGGAGAGAATTTAGCTATTTGGCCTGGTCTCTGGATTGAGAATAAATTAATGGAAAGCAGATGAGGATTGATTTTGCCCCAAGGGAAAAATCTTTTTGTACTACAAAGCAAAATTACGAAGACATTTTATGCAGGACTTTCCATTCTGTAGTTCATGTTTGTACAATGGAACCTGTGATTTATTTAACGTGGTGAAGGTCTCAAGCAGAATGAAGAAAATTCTGAGGGAATCCATCCCTCAGTTGCTCCTTTTCTCCGAGTTTTCACCTAAATCTTCTTCTTTATGGGAGTCAGAGAGTTAGTTAAGAAAAATCCCCCCACTCTCTGCTGCCATCACCACAGCACCTTCAGGGCAGATGTACATGGGAATTTTTTTTGATTAAACTGAGATAATCTCAGTTTATTTCAGCTTGGTACTGTACGTACTTTCTATAAATGTTGGGATTACATTTCCCAGAATTCCACCTGCTACGTATTTGGAAGGCAGGCACTGTGCCCAGACAGATGCAACTGGGAAGCCTACAAACAAAACTAGAATCATTCCAGTTCTATTCTGCTCATTCTCCAACAATTGTGACTTGAGATACTGCATAGTACAGCAACAAAATAATTCAGCCATCTGCTATGAATTCACTTTAGAAAGCACCTACAGGTAGTCCTGGAGTAATGACTGTAATGGAGTCTGCCCATTAGGATCATAATGGTTGTAATAGGACAGTCACACAACCTGATTTTACAACCTTTATTATGACAGTCACAACAGTTATTAAGCAAATGCAGTGGTTGTTAAGCAGTTTTGTTGAAAACTGGAAGTTAGTGCTGCTTTCTGGCAAAATTGTTGTAAAACGTGGACGTGTAATTGCAACACACTGCAATGACAATAAATGCAGCCATATTGCCAAGCATCCAAAGTCCAGTCATGTGACTGCAAGGGGAGGGGGCACTATCAGAATTTTAGATCCAGGTCATGTCCCTTTTTTTGGGTTAGTCATAACAAACCAGTCATAACTCAATGATATATTTTTCACAATCTCAGATTCTCTGTCTACATATGGCACAATTTGGCTATATGGACATGGGTAGGTGGGTGAAGGAAGGAAGGAAAGAAAAACATTTGAGCCAATGGATATAGTGAGTAGAAAGAAAGTAGACTTGAATGGATAACACTATAGTGGAAGAAGAAAAATAAAGGGTAGGGTACAAATCTACTTAATAAAATAATAAATAAATCAAATTTACTGTCTGTCATTCCAGATGACAAAATTAGGAAGAAGCAACGTGTCCCATAATTTTCTACCAGTGTATTGTTTTCCTTTCCTAAATTAACTGCATTAGCTCACATTTTAATATTCAGCAGAACAATCTTTCTGTGTACATTTTTCACATATACAAATATATCCACGCATATACACATAAATGGTACACCCGAGAACACATTTTCTGGCATGATATATTTGAGATATAGAAGCTTTCAATTTTTTTTTTCAGTTCCATGCTTTTCTGTGCAGTTCATTTCCATGCAGTTTCTTCTCATACCAGCATCTTTTTATACTTGTTGTTTTTAATCCAAGAACTTCAGGACAAAATTTAGCAAAATGTAAAGGCAGAAAATTGTAATTCCACCTTGGATGAAGTATTTATCTTGGATGTGCAGATTAGGTACAACCCAGAGGAAGTAAATTCTTCTCTCTGCTTGGATAGGGCCCCAATTGATGGGTTCAATTAATTAAAACAAAGGGATGTTAGCTACATTTTAAGAATGTGTTGATGATATGTGTGACCCACTGATAGAACGTCCAAGTAGCGGATTTGCTTTCCTTAAAAGATTTAAGCAGAAAGAGGTCATCTAACAGGATATTAATTAATTTATTCATTCATTCATTCATTTATATTGGATTTATGTGCAGCATGAAGGGATTTTAGTTATATTTTAAGAAGGATTGGTTGATATGATGGTTCACCGGTAAAAAAAACCTCCTGCTTTAAAAACTGGTGGACTTGCTTTCATACAAAGTTTTAAGTAGACAGAGGTCATCTCGCAGGATCTCTCTCTCTCTCTCTCTCTCTCTCTCTCCATCCATCCATTTGATTTATGTGTTGCTCATTTTGTCCTGAGGCGACTCTGGGCATCTTATATAAACATTAAAAGGTAAAACAGTAATAGCAATAATCATAGCTATACTAAAAATATAACATTAAAAGATTAAAAGAAGATTGGGGGGGGGGGGAAGGGAGAAAAGAATTGAAGACCACAAGAGGTGGCGTTTCCTTCAATCTAGCTAACCACCTCCAGAGTGATTTCAACACACACAGAGCCACAGGTCTTCAGGCTCTTACAGAAGGTCAAACTCAGGAGCCAAGGCACAGAAAGGTCTTCTGGACCCTGCCCACCCAAATTTCTTGTCTGACAGGGTTCATAGCAGGTCCTTTCTGCTGGCAGGAGGGGTGGGGGGAGCAAACTCATGATGTTATCTTTCAGCTTTATAATTCTAGTTTCACTTCTGGTTTTGCATGTCTATTAAACTAGGAGCAGAATGTATGCAAATTTCCCCGAAGCATTGAGCTCCCAAACGTTTGGATTCTAATCTTGACCCAATTCCAAACTTTTGAATGCTTGAACCTCTTTTATTAAGCTCTTGTTATTTGCACTTCTAATCCATGGCTTTTCATCTTGACAAATGTTTACTTGAATATATTAAAAGAATATGTTCCAAGAAGGGATTAAATTAAAGGGGTGGTGGTTGGGGTTTTTATTTTATTTTGGATGGGGTGGGGGGTGGGGTGGGGAGATGTTTTTCCAGGATCTAATCTGAGGAACCTATGATTTGTAGAGGCTGTGCCAGCTCTCCAGCGGCTCTTGCAAAATTAGCACCACCGTTAATTTGTTGTTCCAGGGGGGTATTTTGGAAAACCATCCAGAAACATGGAGAGATTGCCATATAAACAGAAAAAAATAAAAAGCGAAGAGATAAGAGCTAGAAAGAGAGAGAGAGAGAGAAGCGTGCTTTTAGTCGGAGGGCAGGGCAGGGCAAGGAAAGGCAGACATATAATCCCACACCGCCTGACAGGCTGCCACAGAAGACAGGTAATTAAAAGCAGACCCAAAAGAAAAAAGAAAAGTCAAAAGTCTTGAGGGAGATGGAAATTGCAACTTTGCAACCAGATGGTGGAGGCTAAGCTTCGGCGAAAGGAGCACCAGCAGCACCAATCTGCTGGCTCACGAGAAACAATGACAGGCCGTTTTCTGCATACGTGTGAAGCTTTGGGAACATCTGGCAAGCATTGCCCCCCCTCCCCCCCCATGCTTCCCCACACCCGCCCAGAAGGTGAGGAATCCTGCCCGATTTTCAGGACCTTACCGCTCTCAGCTGGAGCAACCTTGGCAGCCGGTGCTCAGCCCCACCAACTCGGTTGCATGAGGGTCCCAGTCCTGGCGCGGGGTTTTGAGCCTTGCTGGGATGGCAAACTCCAAAGGGGCCAGGGCTGGAGAAGGGTTGAGAAGTGGGGGGGGTCGGAGCAGAGAGAAAGAATAATTTTGCTTACCCTTTGTGAAAGTGGGTTGTGTTTCTCTCTCTCTCTCTCTCTCTCTTGGCTGCCCCCAATTCGTGTTTTTTTTTTCCTCTTCTTGTCAGAAAGTGCTCCAGACTTTGAGGGCAAGGCTTTTCCTAAGCCACAGCTGGAGGAGGTGGGGAAGAGAAAGAAGGAGGTTTTTAAAAAAGAAAGAAAAGAAAGAAAGACATGCAGGCAGTTCTCAAGCAAACAGGGAGTGAGGAAGGCTCTTTTCCAAATACAAAAGGTCTCTGAGAGAGGTTAGCAAGTAGTGTGGAGTGCAATAGGTTGCTTTTTTTTTAAAAAAAGAGGAAACTCTTGCCAGGCTAAATTAAAAGGGGGAAAAAAAAATCAACCACTCTTGCCTTTTCACCAAAACTAACTCCTCCTCCTCTTCCACTGACGCCATCTAAAGGCAGGTCTTTTTTGCTGTGATAGGATCAAGTCACCCTGAAAAGGAGGATCGGGACAAGTTATTTCAATTGGCCCTCCAAAGAAAGACTGGTGTTTTTTTTTTTTTTTTTTAGTGGCAACCTTCAAAATGTTTTAAAATAAAATTCACAAGTAGCTGTAACAAGCTCAGGGTTGCTTAGCTTTTGGAAGTGGAGCTTATCTGCTAGTATAAACCCAAGTTCAGTTTTAAGCAGCTGCAAGATTCCTGGTGCTTCTTTGCAGGGAGTTAATCTTACATATCATCAGGGCCAATGCTGCTAATTCCCCCGCCCCCCCCCCATTCAAAGGTTAAAAGCATTAACATTGAGTAGAGGGTGCCCAGCAAAATATTCCCTTTCTGTGGGCTGTTCCCACTTTTACACGAAGTTGTCATTTTAATGTCACTTACGATGGCGAGTCCCATCTGCCCTATTCTTTGGCATGGATCACTGTAATACATAAGTAAAATTTTAATATTAATGTGAGTAAATGGTTTTAATACCTTCGCATTTATGATTTGAATGGTAAGCCTCAGAGTTACTTTGCAGATGGGCGGCATATACATGAATAAATAACAGGAAGAGACGGGAGAAGTGATGCCCTTCTTTTCCACCCAAATTGAGATAATTACTAATTCACGAAAATGTTATCACAGAAAAAATAATTCATGGTGAGGGGCGGGGGGATAACAGTGGAATAAAAGGTGGGTGGGGATTTTTGGTATGACGATCTTCTGATACGAAACCACAGAATTTAATGACATTTCTAGTTTTTTTTCCCCATGGACATTTTCTATTAAATTCAAATTAACAATAACAATTCTTAACAAAACTGATAAATCTGTGTTTCCTTTTTTTTCTTCAATGGAGCCTTCCAAGTTTAGAAACATATGCAGGTGGTCTTCACCTTACAACAGTTCATTTGGTGCCTGTCCAAAGTTACAATGGCACTGAAAAAAGGTGTTTTATGAGCATTTTTCTCACTTATGACAGTTACAGCATCCCCGTGGTCATGTGATCCAGACACTTGGCAATTGGATTCTGAGAGTTGAAGTCCACATGTCTTCAAGTGGCCAAGGTTGAGAAACTCTGCTCTCCCACTAAATTTGCCACCTCAAGACTGGAGGGAAGGAGCAATTGTAACTCACTGGGAGTTAATCTAAATGTAGTTCAAGAAAGGAAACCCATGGGTGTGAGGTTACGTTTCCTTCGGATGAATATATAAAGAAGGGAGGGTGCTAAGTTCGAATTTGCCAGGCCCTGTGCCAAAATTCTGTTCCAAGAGACAAGAACCTTCCTGGGCCAAACCTTAGGTCGGATTCTGCAGTGGAGAGCTGGGTGCTTGGGTTCAATGTCTTTTTATGCTTGTGCACTGGAGGAGCCAGAAGCCAGGCCAACACAGCATGAATTGTATGAAAGGAAGGAAACAAACATTCCCTCCCTGAATGAAGTGGTGGCCAAGATTCCCACCCACTCATCAAATTCTCTTTGAGCAGTTGCTATGCGTATGCGAGATGCGAATCCGGGCCTCACCTAACACTGCTGTGCTTCCAGCTTTTTTCATCAAAAGCTGGTTTTGTACTTGCAAATCCTCTTGATTTTGAAGCATGCCAAGAACCACTGCTGTGTTGGGCGCAAGGATTCTGGAAGGTATTTTAGGGCTGCCTATAGGTAGAGATAGGCGAGGCTTGCCTTGGTAGACAAATAAACAACCTATCTCAGTGGTCCTCAACCTTTTCTTCACCACGGGCCCCATTGAAATATCTTTTCTGGCCCACGGACCATGGTCACGGACCCCTAAGACTTAACTCAAGATTTAACAGATAATCAGAGTTGGAAGGGACCCTGCAGGTCATCTAGTCCACACCCACCCCGCCCAAGCAGGAGACCCTATACCATTTCCGACAAATGGCAATCCAATCTCTTCTTGAAAGCCTCCAGTGATGAAGCTTCCACAACTTCTGAAGGCAACATCTGTTCCATTGGTTGATTGTTTTCACTGTCAGCAAGTTTCTCCTTATTTCCAGGTTAAATCCCCCTCCCCGCTGTGATGGCATAGTGGTCTTCCAGGCATCCTCAGATCACAGGTTGAGAACCACTGATCTACCTTGCATTTTTCAGAGTAAGGCATGAGGCAGAATGACATTGTAATGGCTTGCTCTGAGACTCTCCAAATAGTCTATTTTAAAATGGGGTTGTTGTTTTTAAAGAAAAATGTTTCCTCTGTCCACTTGTGCCCAACTCAAGGGGGCAGTGGTCATCTCTATTTCCTAGCTGATGGAGCCAGAGCTGTCTGTAGATGCTTCCATGGTCATGTGGCCAGCATGACTATATGACAAGAAGTACACTGTTGCCTTCCTACTGAAGTGGTACCTGTTTATCTACTTGCATTTGCATGCTTTCAAACTGCTAGATTGGCAGGAGCTGGGGCAAGAACAGGAGCTCAACCTGTCACACAGTGCTTGGGTCTCAAACTGTTGACCTTCCGGTCAATTATTCTAGCATCTTAACTGTGATGCCACCGCACCCCTATATTAAAATAGGCTCACCAAAATCCATGTGTCAGGTAAAAAAGGCTTGCAGGAAAACTTGAGTATAAAAAAGTGTAGATTAATGGAAATTGCTTGCAACATGCTGGCTGGATTAAGATCAATCGATGACCTATTCACGACCTAACAAAGGTGCTCCTTAGCTCTTCCATTGTTCAGGTGACAAGACATTAAGACTCAATAAGTGCTGAAAACTGAATTGATTGTGGCACTGAAAGAGTTAAGGCCACGGTAGCCTTAAAGAAAAACCCTTTGCGGTGCCCGGCCTTCCCTTGGTGCCTTAAACTTGTACTTATTTTGCTTAATGGTTAATCCAGGGATGCAGACTTGTATCTTGTATAATAGAAAATTGTGCAAAAGTAACCGCAAACTTTTATGCTGCGGACAAAGAATATGAATGTTTATGCAAATGTCTAAAACATATTTATAGGCAGATGCAGAAATGGAATGTAATAAATGTTCACTTGGGGAAAAATGGAATATAATAAATGTTCACTTGGGGAAAAATATTGGCAGATGAGTTCTGGGAATTGCTCTGGACTCAGAGGCATCCAAAGGGAGAGATTATATATCTATCTATATCTATATCTCTATCTCTATATCTATATCTATATCTATATCTATCTATCTATTTGTTTTCTTAAGTTTTCGTGGGTACTTACATGTATGGTATTCAGCTTTGTTCGGGCATTTTCCCACGTCATTATAATTGTGCTTTTAAAGTTGTAGCAACGTTTTGGCAGAATCTCATCTGCCATCATCAGAAGCCATCATGAGGCTTCTGATGATGGCAGATGAGATTCTGCCGAAACATCAGACAAGTGGCTGAACAATTTCTTCTTAAAAACATCTAGTTATGGAGCACCCACAACTTCTGAAGCCAAGCTGTTCTACTTGTTAATTGTTGTCACTGTTAGGAGATTTTAGTGCCAGGTTGCTTCTCTCCTTGATTAGTTTCCATCCATTACTTCTTGTCTTGTCTTGTCTTGTCTTCTGGTGCTTTGGTGCTTTTTTTTCTGGCAGCCCCTCAAACATTGCAATGCTGCTATCATGGTCTCCTCCCACTTTTCACTAGGGTGGACATACCCAAATCCTGTAACCGTTCTTCATATGCTTTAGTCTCCAGCCCCCTAATCATCTTGGTTATTCTTCTCTGTACTTTTCCCCAGAGTTTCAGCATCTTTTTTATATTGTGGTGACCAAAACTGGATGCAGTAATCCAAGTATGGTCTTACAAAGAGCTACTAACACTTTACGTGTTCTTGATTCTATCCCTTTGTTAATGCAGCCTAGGGTTGCATTTCTGTGACATACATAACAGATAACCAGAGCTGGAAACAGAGGCGGCATTCAGCAGGTTCTGACCAGTTCTGGAGAATCAGTAGCAGAAATTTTGAGTAGTTCAGAGAACCGGCAAATACCACCTCTGATGGAGATTTTACAGTATCCTTCCCCTGCCACGCCCATCAAGCCATGCCCACAGAACCAGTAGTAGAAAAATTCAAATCCCACCCCCGGTTGGAAGGGATCTTATAGGTCATCTAGTCCAACCCCCCTGTCCAAGCAGGAGACCCTACACCATTTCTGACAGATGGGAGTCCAATCTCTTCTTGAAAGTCTCAAGTGATGGCGCTCCCACAACTTCTGAAGGCAACTTCGGTGCCCTTGGTTGATTGTCCTCACTGTCAGAAAGTTTCTTCTTATTTCCAGGTTGAATCTCTCTCTGTTCAGTTCAGTATATAAAAAGGAGTGGGGCTTCACTTGTATACTCAGGCTGCCATCTTGACTTTTTTGACCCTACTGGATGCCCAATTCATCCCGTTTCCAACACATCCTAACCACTGCACTACCGGTCATTATGGTTCCATCCATGCTTGAATTATTATACCAGCCATTAGGCTAGGGGCATTTCTGAAATATTTTTACTCTGTTTTACCTTAAATTGGGGTGAGTGTCTTTAGGTTTGTTTTTTTCCCCGATTTAAAATAATTTATGAGTCAGCCAAATCTCTCAGAAAATTTTCCTTTCTCAATGCTGGTATCTCTTACGGAACATCTGCCATTACAGATAAGAATTTCATCTTTAATCAGTTTCCACTCATCACATAAGCAAATAAAAATGTACATTGATGCGTACGTGCTAGATTTTGGTTTCTACCATTATTAGTCAATGCTGTTATATATTATTATTAGTGTATTGTTTTTAATTCTTCATTTTTTTCTCTATTTGCTATTCTGAGAATAGTGGGAAACAGTAGAGCAGTTTAGTTAATTAATTAATTGGCAATTATAATCTGTACAACTCTGGACAGATTACACAATACCAGAACAAAAAACAATAGAAACACAGAATATATAGAGGTAGACCTTGATTTATGGCAACTGAGCCCAACATTTCTATTGTTATGTAGGGCAGTTGTTAAGTGAGTTATGCCCCATTTTACAACCCTTTTGCCACAGTTGTTAAGTGAATTGCTGTTGTTGTTAAATGAATCATGCAAATCTGGCTTCTCCCGTTGCCTTTGCTTGTTGGAAGCTGGAAAGCTGCGATGTCATAAATTCACACCAGTTGCCAAGAATCCAAATTTTGATCACGTGACCGTGGCATTAAAAAAATGGTCATAAGCCACTTTTTTCAGTGCCATTGTAACTTTTAACGGTCAGTAAATGAATGATTGTAAGTCAAGGACTATTTGTAATCCAAAACAAATTTTAGAGAAGAACAAAATTTCACAACAAAGGGACTCACAAACGGTCTAAACTAGGGGTGTCAAACTCATGGCCTGTGGGCCAGATGCATCATGCACTGGCCATGCCCACCCCTGTTTTAGCGAAGGGGGGGAAAGTTGCAATACGTCACATGATGACAACGTGATGACGCGAGTTTGACACCCCTGGTCTAAACATTCACTCTAGCTCAGGACCTGCAGACAGGGACAGGTTTTTAAATATTTT